TCAGTGTCAGCTTAAACGCATTGTGGCGTGCCAAGGTCTGAAGATTGAAGGAGAGTTTCATTCAAAATTGAAAACTGGGGAATTGCTTCTGTAAAGAGAAAGAAATCGGCAGAAAAACAGACCAGAGGATTAGGACCGAGAGAACGTTTTACTCTCTCCGCAAAATTGTCAGAATGTATCAGGTCAGAAGACACGCCGATGTGATATAAATTTTATACAATAAGTAAGGCCGGTGATTGGCCTGAAGCGAGGGATTATGTGATTTATTCCCCTCGTGCGTTGCCCGAGGGCGCAATTATTTTTACATGAGCTCGGATTCCTTTGTTCTTTACGGGGGGAATATATTACATAACCCCCAAATCAACTGTCTGAAAAACTGGGTGCGGCTTTGATTGTTTAAACGGACGAGCGGGGCTAATGAACAGCTAATTTAAATGCAAGGGGATTATGTATTAATATACAAGGCGGATTATCCCCCTTGCATATTAATACATTATCCCCTTGCATTTAAATTAGCTGTTCATTAGCCCCGCTCTTCCCTTCAAACAATCAAAGCCGCACCCAGCTTTTCAGACAGTTGATTTGGGGGTTATGTAATATATTCCCGCCGTAAAAAACAAAGGAATCCGAGCTCATGTAAAAATAACTAGTAATAGTTGACACTACAGCTGCCCCCGCCCTGTTTATTGTCGGTCAATAGTATTCTTGCTCGTTGCGTAGCTCTTTGAAATATACCGATTCATAATGAAGATGTTCACAAAAGGGGGGAATTTCATATATCCCATGATGCATCGCTTCATACTATATTATCAAGCTTGCGAACGCACGTGATCCTACAGTTCAACAGGGACGCGACTATTGAACAACGGTGGAAAGCGACTCGTGTGGCCGATAAAACCTTCTGTACTTTTGCTGTGTCGATCTATTAACGATTATCGTTTTACTATTCCAAATATATCTCTTGTTAAGTCAAAGAGAGTGTTTTGGCCGCCGATTATTAGTTAACTTAAGCCTTACGATCGCAAGGCAGTCCACGCAAATGTTCTTAGAAGCTAGCGAGGAAGGTCTTTGCTTCAGAACGTCCTGTTTTAACGTGCGTTGATAAAGCTATCCATGGATTAACAAGCGATTTCCACGTACTTGTCTTGAACTAAATACATATTCTAGGTGTGAGATTTCTCTTCGTTGCTCGTTTGTGATCGCGGCGCTCATATTGTCAGTTCAATAATTCATCAATGCAGTACATCAACCATTCGTTGACCACACATGCTTTTACTTCAACAAGCTCGGCTTATGTAGTCGAAAATACCGAGACTGTTAAAGTACCAAGTGACGTCTATCGGAGATAAAATTCAAAGGAAGGAAATAACTCCAACAAACAATAAAAATAACAAAGACATCTCTATATTTTTCGTAACACAACACCAGCTAAGCATCATTGTCAAACATAAACAGAAAAAAGCTTTATTAAGAAATGGCGAAATATATATACAAAAACACCCACTTCTTCTTTACAATGGATCCTAAAAGAATTATCGAAATGTCTTTAAAGGTTTTGTACGCCGGTTAAGGTCCTACGGCATGCTATTCCATGACGTTTGCTGGCCTGTATATTTCAAGTTCGCCTCGCGCGGTTGCGACCGGAAGCTACCATGAGAAACCAATTTTACCTAAAATAATGAGACAAAAAAGCTTAATACTATAAACCATTGAATTTAAACACTCATCATACCCCTCAAGAGATCATATTTGTGTTTTGATCAGCGTAAAAAAAACGAATTCAAGAAAAAATGTCCCATCTTCGCAGGACTTAGCGCAAAGAAATTGAAACCTTCGCCTTGCATCTTAGAGGAGAAAGGGCAGAAAATGCGATATTTCAAAACGATCAAACCCATAGAAATCGCGAGGTCGAAAGAGGTCGGAGCGTGGAACTAGTATCAAGCACCCCTTGTCCGCCGATTTAAATAATTTATTAGGGTAAAACCTTTCTAGAATAACGACAGTTTTCGATAATTGAAAGTCATCTAAATAAATATTCATTTGCGAGTCAAAACAGCATGGCTTACCAGGGTCGTAAACGAGAGCAATAATGCGTGAAACGACCATGGAAACATTTTACATTATCAATCAGATACTAAAGATTAACAGGGCTCATTGAAACTTTCCTTGGATGAGCTGCATCTTGAAATTCAGGACGTTCAAAATCACCCTCGAAACCCTCGAACGCTCTCTCCCCTTTATGTTCACACATATTCCATACAATAGGTGAGATAAATACAGGAAATAAACGCAAGGTTCCATGCACAGTTTCGGTTCGATTTACACAGCTTTGATCAAAACATTCTCAGTATCGAGAATAGTTTATTTTAAACCATAAGAAAAGATTTAATTGTAAGTTTAATTTTTCGTTCTTTCTATTTCACTTTTACATTTAGTTCATTTCATTTGCCGGAAAGTAAGCCTTAGAAATTAAAAGGATGTTTGATCAATTCACGCTCGCGCATTCTAGTCTTATTTTAAACTTTATAGCGGAAGGACATTTGTGAGCACGGAATAAGTCAGCACAGAAGTCCATGGTCGGCGAATTTCTGTAATCGCCATCGTTCTGCTAATGATAAGCTAGCCGTTGAATCATTCACTCTTCTTGCTTGTTTGGGGCCGAGTCTTATTCCGGTCAAAGAAAGAGAAAGAGTGTCTGGTAAGGTTTCCAATCAGAGATTTGCGAACTCGTGTCTGGCAAACTCACTTAGTGTTAAAATATACACTGTCATATGAACCTTATAATAAACTTCATCTGCGCTTAACGAGTGTCTCTTGGTCCATAACTTTCATAACAACTGTTCCACAGAATGTCACTGATAACACGTAACGCAAAAGAGTATCGAAGTATGACTGCACAATTAATGTCACAAAACTGCCTACCTATTGTAAACGGTTCCCATCGGGATTTTTTGTGTTTTACGTCATCCTAACCATTTCGTACTTGCGGGCGCAAACAATACAAACGTCATCATTACCTACCGATTCCTCGCGGCCCCTGTTCAAGCAATCGAGATTTTTTCTATATTGACTGTAGGACTGTATATTTCAACTGTGAGTACTTTCCTTAATATACGCGCGAGTTACTGGAGTGCCTCCTCGGGATTTCGCCTTCTGGGCGAAATCCCTGCGGGGGTAATAGGTCCTGGAAAACGGAGTATATTTCAAGAACGTACAGCTTGAACAGAAGCAAGCAAAATCAAATTGGACATACAGCGGCTGTAGTTTGTCAATGAATCCAAGCAGTGAATAAATTTTGTTGAGTTGATGCTGAAAAGGGGAGTCTTATTGCGCTCCTGGTGTCTCCTGCAGTCTTTTTTCTTAGTAACGGAAACGGAAATTGTTCTCTAACTCCCGGTAAATCGGTCAACTTTTGAGAAGATTTTCCCTTAAATGCGAAGGTATATTCGAAAAAGAAAACCAGATATACATATCACATCATCTGAACTAACCGCAAAAAGATTTTGAGGCCAAAATAAAATGTTGAAAATTTGCCGGTGCAGATACCTTAATAATGACGACGAAAAAGCAATAATGGAAAGATCAAGGAGTCCTTCTTGCTGATTTTAAGCGCTTATATACATGATTCAGAACAGAAAAAGATTAAAAATTTACTAGTAATAGTTGACACTACAGCTGCCCCCGTTTTGTATATTGTCGGTCAATAGTATTCTTGCTGGTTGTGTAGCTCTTTGAAATATACCGATTCATAATGAAGATGTTCACACATATTCCATACAATAGGTGAGATAAATACAGGAAACGCAAGGTTCCATACACAGTTTGAGCTCGATTTACACAGCTTTGATCAAAACATTCTCAGTTTCAGAATAGTTTATTCCAAACCATATAAAAAGATTTAATTAGAAGTTGAATTTTTCGCTATTTCTCTTTCCCTTTTTACATTCAGTTCATTTTATTTGCCGGAAAGTAAGCCTTAGACATTAAAAAGACGTTTGCTCGATTCACGCTAGCGCATTCTAGTCTTATTTGAAACTTTATAACGTAAGGACATCTGTGAGGAGGGAATAAGTCAGCACAGAATTTGATTGTCGGCGAAATTCTGTAAATGTCCATCAATCTGCTAGTGATAAGCTAGCCGTTGTTCACTCGTCTTGCTTGTTTGGGGCTGAGTCTTATTCCGGTCAAAGAGAGAGAAAGAGTGTCTGGCAAGGTTTCCAATATAAATCAAATATTTGTGAACTCGTGTCTGGCAAACTCTCCAAGTGTTCATATATCTACATAGTTGAACGCACCTTATAACCTCCCCTGCGCTTAAAGATTGTCTTTTGGTCTATAACTTTCAAAACAACTGCTCCACAGAATGTCACTGCGTAACGCAAAGAGTATCGAAGTATGACTGCACAATAAATGTCACAAAATCTACCTGAGCGGTCCCTTCGGGATTTTCTGTCTTTACGTCATCCTAACCATTTCGTACTTGCGGGCGCAAACAATAGAAACGTCATCATTACCTACCGATTCCTCGCGGCCCCAGTTCGAGCAAATCGAGATTTTTTCTAGTATACTGACTGTATATTTGAACAGTAAGTACTGTCCCTAATATACGCGCGAGTTATTAGGGTGCCTCCTCGGCATTTCGCCTCTGGGCGAAATCCCTGCGGGGGCAATAACCAATTTAAAAAATTAATTTTGAAACAAACGGCGCGCCATAATATGAATCTTTGTGGCTTTCCGGGTTTTGGGAATACATGAGTTCCCCTTCACTGATAGAATAAGTGGATAAAAGAGTAGCGGGCGTGTGCGGGAGAATGTTGTAAGTATAAAAGGATAGTTACTCTCGCTATGTTTGTCATCAATTTTGTACAAACTAGGTTAACGTTAGCTTAATAAGAGCACAATCTTCTCTTTAACTGATGAAACAGCTTAGCGTATTCTCCTCTCAACATCGACGTTACTGAGGGAGTAAAAACGACTCGAAGTTACGTCTGAAATTCAGGCTAGAAAAAACTGGCCCTTTTTCACTTTGAAAGCAAAAAGGCTAAATTAGACATTAAACATTTATTGGTTCTTGAGGATGAAGTCGCCTTTTACTTGGGGTTTCCTCTTGCCACTGTCGACGGTTGTGGAGCTTCCGGTTCGTACTCTATTTCCTTTGTTGTATACGAAGAAGATTGCCTCAGTGTTTCTTTGATTTGAGATGAGCCTCTGTGAACTTAATTTCCTGTACTTGGAACAGAACTGACACCAGGTTCATCTTCTGTTTCGTTAGTTTTTTGCCTAAAGCTCATTTCAGACTTAAGATGTTGCTTTTTGCTCTCCGCTTTATTCTTCAAGATTTCCAGTCTTCTGGCATCCTTTTCATCAGCTGTAACCACACTAATATCAGCTCCAAGGTCAACAAGCTTCTTCACAGCTTGCGAGTTACCATGTCTCACGGCCAACTGAAGAGGAGTCAAACCTTCTGCATCATGGATGTTTAGGTTTTGTACCCCATACTTCACCAGGAGATCGATTATCTTACTGCAATCTCTGTTTCTACGAGCTGACAGGTGCAGCGGGGTAGAGCCATCTTTATCTTGAATATTTACATCCGCGTTGTGTTCAAGTAACAATCTACAGAGGTTTTTGTTACCGTCTCCGACACACGAGTGCAAGGGTGTACATCCAGCATTATCTTGAATATTTACATCCGCGTTGTGCTCAAGTAACCATCTACAGAGGTTTTCATTACCCTGTCTGACACACAGGTGCAAGGGTGTATCTCCTTCTTTATCTCGAATATTTACATCCGCGTTGTGATCAAGTAACAATCTACAGAGGTTTTCGTTACCCTCTCTGACACCCGAGTGCAAGGGTGTACATCCAGCATTATCTTGAATATTTACATCCGCGTTGTGCTCAAGTAACAATCTACAGATGTTTTCGTTACCCTTAAAGGCACACCAGTGCAAGGGTGTAAATCCGTGTTTTTCTTGAATATTTACATCCGCGTTGTGCTCAAGTAACAATCTACAGAGGTTTTCGTTACCCTTAAAGCCACACCAGTGCAAGGGCGTAGATACACCTTTGTCTTGAATATTTACATCCGCGTTGTGTTCAAGTAACAATGTACCGATGTTTTCGTTACCCTTAAAGGCACACCAGTGCAAGGGTGTAAATCCGTGTTTTTCTTGAATATTTACATCCGCGTTGTGTTCAAGTAACAATCTACAGAGGCTTTCATTACCCTCTCTGGCACACCAGTTCAAGAGCGTACATCCACGATTATCTTGAATATTTACATCCGCGTTGTGTTCAAGTAACAATCTACAGAGGTTTTCGTTACCCTCAAAGGCACAACAGTGCAAGGGTAAATATCCATCATCATCTTGAATATTTACATCTACTTCATTTGCAAGTAGTAATTTGATAAGATTTTCGCGACCTTTTCTGACTGAAATGTGTAGTGGTGTGAATCCATAGCTATCCTGAACATCTACATAAGCTCCGTGCCTTACAAGCAAGCATACTGCCATATAGTTGTTCCAAACAGTTGCTAATTTTAATGGTGTTTCTTTCCTCTTTTTTCTCTCGGCATTAACGTCGGCACCAAGATCTATGAGGGTCTCAATGAACTGACTTGAGGACGACCGACTCGCCTGCAACAAAGCTGTGTAATCATTGTCTGACCCTCGGGCATTAATAGCTGCACCGTCATTTAATACAAGCTCAACTGCTTGTTCCGCATCATCACTGCATGTAGCCAACTGCAGCTTAGTCTGTCTACTGTTGTCCTTAGCACACCCATTAAAAAGTTTTTTTTATACTTTTATAACTTGGAAGTCCATGGGCTTTTAAAACAATGTCATATTCATCCTTTAAGACAGCCGCCTCGAGTAGATTAAATCCAGCCTTTTTATCCAATTGCGTGAAAGCTTTCCTTGAGAGATTTTTTAGACTGACCTGTTAAAAAATGACCAAGTTAATAAGAGCAAGTAATGAAGAGGGAATCCATTTGAGACAACATGTAAGTAGATTTTTGCATATAATAGTTGATATGGGTTGCCCCGTATTCATATTGCAGATAGACATGTTCTACACAAAATGAAGTGGTGGTCGCGGTTGTTATCGCTAAGTCTATGACGTCATAAGTTAAAGCAGAAATGGGGGACAGTTTTTCGGGCACAATCTGCCATAACTTACTGGTTGATGAGGACATGGCCTGGCATCATTCTTCAGCAGCAACTGCACTATGGAATGGTGGTTTTGACGTTCGGCTTTTTGCAGAGGAGTACGCTGAAACTATAAAAACATTATATCGAAGCAGAGTTAATGGTGTTACCCACTTTTGAATATTTATCATAGAAACATTTTAACAACGGTAATTCTTCATAACTGCATATCTCCGCTTTTCCGTCTACACTACGTAACGCAACGTACTGTTAACAACAAAAATTACACAGCAAAGCCATTAAGAACAAAACAAAACAAAACAAAACAAACCAAAAATTCTGTGCATTTTGCATGTGCATTCCATCCTGGACATAAGTGTTGAAGCATGGAGAGAGAGCAGTTCTCTCACTGGAGAGCAGTTCCCTTCCAGTGAGAGAACAATGCCTATTCTGTTACAGGCATGCTATAATTCCAGCAACATCCATAAACGACTGCAATGTAGCTGATTCATTTAATGTGTAAAAATGCGGTGGAAAAGCACTCAAATGAAATACAGGAAGAGAGGAGGAAACATAACAAGCCTCTAAGGGTGATATAGGTAAGAGTTAGAGGCCGATTTCGCAGGTGGGATTAGAGCAAATGTTAGTGCAATGAAACGTTCAAGTCAAAACGTGTTCTAAGAGATCATAATTTATTGATCACCGGAAATAAATTTTAGTTAATCATCAACTCTTCGTTGAGCTTTGTCTTTTGTCCAGTTATTTTCAAGTGCAACCTCACGTGAAGTGAACCCTATGAATTATTCGTTGTTTATTTGACCAATTACATGGTACTCTGCCATGTTCCATAGTTTACACTCCCATGATATGCTTCGTCACTCTGTTTTCTTTTAACTCCCATCCCACCCACTATAGTAATCAATTTCGGCGTCAACACATGGATGTCCCTTTCGGTTTAGAGTTTCAACCTGATGCACTGATATGACATCTAATTAGTCAATTTGGTTGTCTCTGACTCACCCTGTCCTTAGCGTTCACGTTCGCACCGTGTTCTAAAAACAGTTTGACCACAGATTCCTGTCGATACCAACAGGCAAGATGAAGAGGCGTCAAAGAAAACTACAGAAAAGGGGACAAAAAACGCAGTTATATAAGAAATATTTGTTAACAAATAGAATTTTTGTCCTTACCCGAAAAGTATTGTTAATCGATTATTTCATACGAGTTTTTCACTTGAATGAGTAATTATCAATTCAGGACAGGGTAAGTGGTTGGGGGCAATCCTTTGTACCCCCCTATAGGGCGCATTGTTGATCACGCGGGAACGTGGAGTTATGTATCATTCTGCCTCGCTACTTCAGTGTGAAAGGACGTCGACCCATAGCTATTTTCACCCATATGGCATCTGTGTCTTCACTGCCCAGTAAACAGGGCTCTGCCGATGTAGTACCCCAGTTTAAAGTAATATAAACGAGAGAAAGACATAAATAGAGGTTGAAATAAGCCAAATAGTGCAGTAAACGATGGCGTATTATAAAATAAATGGAGGGGATGTTGTTGTACTAATTTTTAGCCTCTTTACTGTGCCCTTGTTAGCTTGTTATCAAGGAACAAACCAAGTGTAACACTAAAATTGAGCCCAATTGCAACGTTGCAGGTCACTGAAACTTGGCCAACATTTTTTCATTCAGAATGCTGATAGTCAGTTTATATCGGGGAAACATCGTTCTGAACATTTTCAGGATACTATCGTAGAAAAAAGCAAACAACAACAACAAAGAAAAATAAATTGGTATCATTTCCATTCTTCGTTTGGCCTTCCTTCATAATTCCTTAATTGGCGGGCAAGTACAGTGGAGCCTGGCCCAACGACACCCGCTTAATACGGACACTCATATATAACGGACAGCTTCGTTTGTGCCAACGAAAAGCTGATATATGTCCGCTTGAATCGGCGGACACCATTTAATCCAGACAACGCATACTTTCTGTGTCCAGAGTCTGAGAAACTTCACAGGAGAGGTATGACAAATATCAATTATATTTAGAGCAAATAAGCATCTTACAGTCTCTTTTTGGTGCCTTAAGAATCTCAGTGTCGTAGGTTGTTTGGATCTCAGAGATTTCCTACTTTTTTATTGATAAAAGTGGCATCTAAATGATTGGAGTGGATATGACCGTAGCTGACTGAAGTACAGGTGTCGATGTAAGGACAATGTCGAGGACGTTTTGAATCTTCTGACATGTTAATGAGTGTGCACTTAAGTTAAAAATATACCAAACAAGTTTAGGTCATGGCCAGAGTTCGAAGGAGAGGAGATAGATTTATGGCCAAAAGGCACAGAAGAAGACAAGGCAAGACAAACGGGGAAAACTCAGTTGAAGTTTTCGAGTGATTGAAACCTTTTAAACTCCCTTTGTGTGATTACGCCGCACTTGATGTGGCACCAAAGTTCGCAGGAGTCGCAGGATGGGAACGATGGTTTCGAGCGACTAAATTACCACAAACAGAGCATCTTTCTGGGCCAGGATTCAAGCTAATGTCGCGACTAGTAGTTAATCTCGTCAGTTGAGAGGTAGAATCAGAGTTCGGGTAAAGAATTAACTTGAAGGACAGATAACCTTCACTTCTAGGACAAGCCAATTCAAGATGGCGCTTCAGCCGGTCAAGAAGAGACGAGTGGAAAAGTGGTTTCACGGAGTCATGGTGAGAATTAAAAGCCTCCAGAAACTGGGACATGATAATGATGAATAAAAGCTTCAAATTGGAAGAGCCCGAAAAGACACGTCTTTGCGCTAGGAACACAAACGTTGACATATACCAAGAACAATAAGACACGTCCTACATAAGACGCTTCTGAATTAGGACGGCATGTCCTTACATAGGACGCGTACAGCTCGTATAAATGGTTCGCGTCTTGTTCGAGTCATATCCGGGCAACGGCAATCCAACATAATACGTGTTATAATAAATAAAAAAAGATAAAATAAATCAAAACAAACCTCGATGTATTTTTACCCGTTTGTGTGCTATTTTATTGTTTTTTTGGTTGTTTGTTTCGGTACTATGATATATAAAATTGGTAAAAGGCCACCCGACCCCTGTTTTTTTTTTTTTTTTAATACATTAATCAGAGAGCAATCCTAATTATACCTTACACTATTGGTCCAGCTATTCCCACTAATGAATGGATATTTTCTGCTAAATAACAGCAAAAGGTGTTATCTCTCTCCATTTCTACAAGTTTACTATCTGTACCTCTATGAATACTGTAGATAATGACTGTGTACTGAGAATAAGTCCTCCAGGGCGTTTCATGGTAAGGGGGCTCTCCAAGTGTACATGGAAAGTTATTCTTTACTATTGCTTTGCGTTTCACGCGAGATAAATGGGTGTAGATGAGAAAAATGGCGGCTTTTGTTGTGAGGCCAATTCTCACCAAAAGATGTAAATCGCCATTTTTTCTCGTAAACGAGTATGGTGACTTATCATTTTTCCTCATTAAATCAAGCAAAAACATTTCCTTCTGGAGAAGAAATATGAAACAATTCCTCGTGCCAAAAAGACACAGCCGTCGGAAACGTGTTCAAACATGTACTCGTAAGTAAGATCATATTAATATTGTAAGGGATATATGTACTAGCTATACACAATGTGCCGCTTCTCCTAAACGAGTACGGGGACCCCACGTGTTAAATTCCTTCCAGTTAAACTACCAATAAGTGAAGTTTAAAATCTCAGTGCAGGTTATATTTCAGAGGAATGACCTTACGATTTTGCCACTCATAATAAACAAGCGACAGCTGAGTTTAATTTATGTGCTAGTCGTTAAAAATATGGCGTTTCCAGACCAGAACCTGAAGTGACGTTTTTCTTATATTTTCTTGCTTTGTGAAAATGCACAAGTTCACACTGCACAGTATATCCCACTGAATTTACCTTTGCCTTCTCAGCTCTCTGCCTTTGAATCAGGGCTTGCTTCTTGTACTAGGATGATTAAAGAAAATATTTCTGAAATGCTTTTCTTGTTTACAACTACACAATAGACTCACTGATGAATGCTCTGATATTTTTCTATGTACTCATACACCTTCGAACGATTTACTAAGGAAATGTGACAATTGAAGTTATAAAGATACAACAAAGACTACCAAATAGCGATCAAATAGCGCCCTGTAATCAGCGCTCTTTCCCGAATACGCGCCCACCCCTAAGCCAAAGTAGCGATATAAATCCGGCGTGGAACTCAGCGACTAAATTTAGAAAATTCGAAATTTTGTTCAGTTGTTACGAAAACTGCGAAAATAACGAAAATTACAAAATTTTGCCGGTCCATCGACGAAAAGTAACAGAGAAATGCAAATGACGTAACGGAAGACCGTCCACGAAACAGCGAAAATTACGAAACCAACGAAAATTTCATTTGACGAAAATTACAAAATTTCTTGAGGCCATCGACGAATAAATAACGGGGAATGTAAATGAGGTGATAGAGGCCAAAACTTACGAAAAAATAAGTGCGGTTACACTTGCCGTTTTACCAATGGGCAAAGGGCTGTTGCCCATGGGGAAGTAGCTTTTT